TTTTTAACACCCTGTCCTCTGGAGTGTCACAGGTTTGTATATTTCTAAAACAAAAAATATTAGTAATAATGAAAATATAAGTCCACTTTTTCTAAGGGTATAAGCGCTGGACACATTCGCAAGATTAGATAAAACAGTTACATCGTGATAAATGTTTCAATTTATTTTGAAAATTTTTGCAAACAAATTTCTTCTCTTTGTATAATAGTAAGATATATTACACAAATGCGAATGGTTCTTACTCCATCCAAAAACTACTGCAATGATTGAGTTGAAATACACGTAGGTATATCGTCCTCATGCCTAATAGACGCAAAGGCATATTTACATATAAAGTCATTCGTTTAAACAAATAATTGTTTCAACAAATTACTTAAAAAGCTATATTTTTCAAAATATGACTGCACGAATGGAATCTATAGGAAAAGTTATGGAGAAAATTTACTAAAAACGTTTTATTCCAAACGCTTTTGTAGTTAAAAATAAAAAACATTATTGCGTATGGATTACAACTTAAAAATGTTAACATTTTCTTCACAATTTTTCCTACAGAATTCATTCGAGCAATCAGATCTTGAAAAAGAAAGTTAAAAGTAGTTTACTTGGTCTATAAAGAAAGCTCCAGAATCGTGTTAAAGCATAGAAATCTGTATATCGTTTAAGAATGAGGAAGAACTTTCAATATTTCCAAATGAGGGGCCAGAAACCATATTATGGTATAAGCCACTTCTCAACCAAGTTATACCTTACACCAGGCATGGGCAAAAGTGTCTCTCAAGAGACGCGGCCTTGAGCGCAAGCTAAGGTGGAGATGCTTGACTCTTTGTAACGTACAAGCGCGTATCTACATTTACGAATAGTGGGGAGAGCGACTAGTGTGAGGAAAAAATGAATCGCCCATGCTTGCCTTACACTATAAATGCTAATACGTTTGAAAAACATGAAGTAAGATCTACGTTGAAAACTGTTACCAGCATAATGGTGTAAGCCACTTCTCAACCAAGTTATACCTTACACTCCAAATGCTAATATGTTTAAAAAAGAAAACGTGAAGCAAGTCCTAACTAATTTACCTTACAAACTGTTAGCAGCATAATGTAGGTATGTCAACAGAACAGCTGTACCATTTACGGTACCTACCAATTTCGAGAAGTGAATCACAGTATTTTGACTTTTGTATTTTTTTGTTTTGTATCAAATGTATTAACTCAAATTGCAACGGAAAAAAGGGGCGACGAGGGATTCTAATTTTATATAAAAACATGCAGTCTATTAATGAAAATTAGTCTGCGAATTTTATGCAATTATAAGAAAATTGAATGAATAGATATGAAATCATTGCTGTGTCTAATGTATAAAACAGTTCAGAATATCAACAACTGAATACAGGGTATTCCAAAACTAGTGTAAGATATTGAAAGGCGTCCGGATCCGAGCCAACGCTCCTGATTCGAAGCTCGCGCCAACCGAGCGCTCTGATTGGTCAGGGTTTTTTGTTAACAACTCTTCAACCATGCCTCGGACAACTTTTTCGCTAAGGAAAATATTGTTTAAAATCACGTCAGGAACCTCCCATTTCAATATCTTACACTAGTTTAGGACTGTATACAATTCAATGTTTGAATGACCAATCAATTGTTTATCTCACACACATCTCTCCATAATTATTTTATTTTGCATAAAAATCCGCAGTCTAATGATAATTCATTTTTTTCTAGAAGTGTCATTTAGTTGTTCTATTCTTCGATGTGTCCGGTAATACATCGTTAGTATTATTCGTCGAATACTGACAATGATTTCGTGTATGCTAGTGCGATTTTTAATTAACAGCTTGGACAATTGACGTCGAAACGAATTCGATCACATGGAAATTGTATAGTTCATACCAAAGTTTCGATCATTCTATTCGTGGTGCTTGACGAACGGAAATCACGTTAATGGACGTTAAGTAGAATCGCAGTTGTGCAATATTTTTTAATTACATGGACATAGTTTCGATAGCGAGCGTATATTTTTATATAATTTTTATAGGATTAAACGAGGAGCGTTCCGAATTGGAAACGCTCTATTAGATAGATGAAATTCGACGACGATACGTTAATTCAAACGTGTATCTTTAACATAAAATTTTAAGTAGGCAATATAGGTTTTATTGCGAACGAAGTATTTTAGTTAGAAGGAACTTCCCCTAGAGGAGATTATGAAAACTAAAAACTACGCGTGCATGGAAGATTACTTATACCAAATACTCGTTCCCCTTCATTTTCATTTATGCTACTAGCTGTTTGGATTTCTGTGCACGCAATTTGTGGAAAATATGTTTTTTAACTTTTGTATGCCCCAAGTGTCAATGTTAATCTTTTTAGTTAAGTTAAGTCTGTAGTTTTAAGGAACGATAGACACAAGGATTGGGGGACCTTTTTTTGTATAAGAGGCCATATTTAATCAAGAGGGTAACAAGCCAAGCCTGCAGTTTCAGATTTTATCCATTACTTATTAGATCTTTTTTGATTTGTTAATTTTAGTTCTTTATTAAGAAAAATATCTCACTTTTAATTGCCACATTAACAACTGACGATTACATTTCTCTAAGTCTCAATGGACAATTGGAATTTTAAGGATGTATTGGCTATATAGTCAATACTAAAAGTTTATGTAT